GCGGCTCAGTGGATGAGAGTAGACATACGCTGACAGATCATCCCCCGTCCTCTGCCCATGGGACAAAGCCGTGCTCGCACGCCACGACAACCCCATAGACCGAGCCGTACGCTACATTCCAATGAACCCAACCACCTCCGAATGTTAATCTTGAACTATAATAGCTTATGTTCTCGTATGACGTGACAACTTCCCACGCATGCCAATCCACCACCCACCTCCCGTCAACCCGGAACATCCTGCTGCATTCAGGATCCGCTGCAAATCAAACAATCCAACAACTCCTCGACACATAAAGCGCACGACACAAACACAAGTTACAACACGACACGTATAGAAATAAATGATACTAATCACAAATTTACACAAAAACTGGATTTCATCAAAAATCAATTAACATCACTTCCAGACAGAAAACTCCAACATCCTACACCCTTTTTATGTGCCATAAATAAAGTACTTGAAATTTCTATTATTTTTGTACTCCCAAAATTTTAATATAGTATACTTTTGTAGATTTTTTTATGAAATTAATTAAATTGTTATTTTTTTAAGATAATACATATACAATTGTTCTTTTATATTCTAATACATAAAGTTTATATAATGAGAATAAAATTTTCTAATAGTAAATTAATCTGTATTTGTTTTGTTCATAGCATTAACGTAAGTTGAAGTAATTGGTATAAACTGGTAGTAAAGTACATGATCATTTATGTATTATTTCATTTGGCCCAATTCGTTTATCTGATCAATGCCCACCATATTTTGTGGTGCTTTAATCAACACAGAAATTAGCGCATTATTATTGGGGCGTCGAACGAAATGATTATATTTCAATATTTCCCCAGCACCGGAAATTGGATAAAGCTCGTCCCACAATTTCGCATGTTTATCATAGCAAACAGAAAACAAAAATAATAGGAATGCAGAGATAGATAGAGAAGTACATGGGAAATAGTCGAAAATGAGGTACATCAATGTTTGGTAATGCAATGTTGACTTGATTATTTCATTTAACGAACGGGCCCTTTTGTTAACATCACGCTGTGTTTATTTTCAATCTGCACGGATTTACATTCACTGACAAAAATCGTTTCAGATCTGCTACATCGTTTTGAAATGTTGTTTCCATTTTCGTGTATAATTCTTTTGGAGAATTCGGCAAATTGAATCTCGAGGCAAGGGTGAATTATGAGAGAGACCGGAAGTGGCTATAAACACAGCGGATGCAAAATAAAAACGTGCAGTAATGAAATGGAACGAAAGCGAAGTTAATTGGATCAGTGATAGCCCTAGTCAATGATGCATAGCTGCAGCAGAAGTTAACGTCAATAATTTGCTCTTACACTAATGAGATTAAATGGCAATCCACTTACGCTAAATATTCTGTTTAGGGAAGTTAATATCAACTATGTGCAACTTGCATTATAATCTAGAATCACATCTCAATTTTATCCGGAGGTTAAAACTAAAGTAATACTCGAAGATTAACAAAACGATTTCTTTCGTACATTGTGCAACTTGTATTATAATCTAGAACAGTGATTCCCAAAGTGGTCTATATCGACCCCCATTGGTCTATGACAACCTGCAAGTGGTCTACGACAGCGAAAAAGAAATTTGGGGGTCCATGAAATGAATATGAGGGTCCACAATAATGGATCTCAATATACACTAATAGTACCTATTTACTTACATTATACTATCTTATAATATAAAGACATATACATTATTTATAAAAGTACCTATGAAGTAAAAAAAAATTATATATATTTATAAAATTGTGTAAGTTGTAGGATATAGGCATTCGCAATACATTTTGAACTTGTAAAAACCTGGAATATAGTGAATTATGGAATATAGCGAGGAAATTTTTAATTTCCTTTCCATCGTCATAACTAGTGGAAAGGGAGTTCAGTGGTGTTACCAATCTCCTAACAAAAAAAGAAACAGACTGGACATCATTAGCCGAGGAGATTGAAGATTAAACCTTACAAAATTGACGACAAATGTTGATAATTTATCATTAAAGGTCATTAAATCCTTTTCATTAAAAACATTTACTTATTTATTAGTTTATTTTATAGTTTATATAACAGATAAAAAAATTATTTTGTGTAGTTTTAATTTAAATTCAATTAATAAATGTATAAAACCTAACATGTGTTTTTACTTTAAGTTTTTAACACTAAACTTCACTACAGTTAGAAATTTACAAAAAATCAATATCAGGTAAGTAGGGGATCTACTCAAAACCGAAAAACATGGCAAGGGGTCTACGACACAAAAAAGTTTGGGAACCTCTGATCTAGAATAACATCTCAATTTAATCCGGAAGTAAAAACTAAAGTTAGACTCGTTAACTAGGTTAACAAAACGATTCCTATTGGACGTTGTGCAAATTGCATTATAATCTAGAATCACATCTGAATTTTATCCAGTGGTTAAAACTAAAGGTTAACAAAACTATTGCTGTTGGACGTTGTGCAACATGTGTTATAATCTATAATCTCAATTTTATCCGGTGGTTAAAACTGAAGTAAGACTCGAAGGTTAACAAAACGATTCTTGTTGGACGTTTCTGTCTTTTGGCCCGCGGCGACGCTTTACAAAGGTTTATTACTTAACTTCTGTGTTTTAATTTAAGTTTCGCAAATTATGAAATTACGCACGGCCGACATCGTCTCTATGGAAAAGGAGCGAAAAAAAAAACAAGCGAAACGAGGCAGAAAAAATTGGAATATTGTCGAGGATGATGGAAGGCGTGGAGAGACGACTTCCAAGAGTTAATAATAATTCGATGAAGGCTTAATTTTACGTCTGTCTCGTCCATTCAGAACTTACTTTAAAATTATTTTTTAATTTGAAATGTCTATTTTTTTTCTCTGTGTTTTGCATTTTTTTTTTGTTGTTGTTAACAATGATAAAAAAAAATAATATTAATACAAAATATTTATTGAACTGTGATATTTGTAACAGTGTAATTACAATTAATATTTTGAAATATTAAAGTAAGTACAAATCTTATGAAAGAAGTAACTTCTTTATGACAACAGTTGTATGTATTTTTTTTGTTTTATAGAAAAGATTTTTTTAACATGTGTAAACAAAATAAAAGAAGAAATGCAATTGAAGTTTGAACGAAGAGATGCTGTAGTAAAAATCAAGTTCCTCCATTATTGATCCACCTATCCTAGAGGAGGTTAGCTGTCATTAAGGCTGTATTTACTTTGGATACAGCTGATCGGAATAATAATGGCGTACACTTTCCATGCCGTTTTTCCCGGTTCTGTACTTCGAACTCGCGGTGAAGTACTCTAAATTCAGCTACCTCCGAAGACAGGCATATCTTACTTTAAATTATAATATATGGAAAACGCACCGTCAATAGAATACTAATTCTTCACTTCATTTAACATGTCACAAAACCTATGTTTTATATCATTTCCCCTCAATTTTGGATTGGGACAATCATATAAATCCAATCTATTTACTATGTAATATATAAGTAGTATATAAATAGAAAAATGTTATGTAAATTGAATATGAGGATGAAAGTTATTTGTAGGAAATTTAAAGAAAAATTTAAATTAAATTAAGTACTTTGAGAAATATTATTACAAACTTTAATACTTTCATTGTTTAATAAAATTTGCTTTGTTACTTGAATGATAACATGAAAGTTATATCATATATGATTTAATTTAAATTAAGATAATTAATTAAAATTAACATGTGTTTTGTATTTTGTATTATTTGTTATTAAAGAATTTTAAGTACAAAATTATATTAAGATGAATTTTGTTATAAGTTATGTAATAAAATTTGAAAGGTAAACAACGTGTTTTGAGTATTTTACTTAGAGAGGTGATTGTTACTACTAATTACATTAATATTATAAATTATGTTATCAATTACGTAAATAGAGAAATATAAACCTATTTTTTTTAATCTATAAAACTCGTAGAAATTGAGGTTATAAAAATTATATAACATATATAAAATTCAACAAATTTGAATTTTTGTAAATAAATAAAATGTAATGAATTAAATTACAAATATTTTTTTTAAAAATCTATAAAACTCGGAAATTGCAGTAACGAAAATTATATTTTTAATTTAAATTAAATTTGATGAAATACTAACTTTTCATCAAATTTGTTGAACCAATTGTTTTACTTTCTTCCAAAAAGATGTTTTTTTAAGTTTTTAATATAAAAGATTTAAGGTAGTTTGAAGTGCAACTTGTGATGTTATTAAGGTAAGCAAGTTGTAGTTTTTTCTTTGGAAGTATACGTGGGTGTACTTTAAACGTTTCATTATAAGGAGGAGCAGTTCAGGGCTAAAGGTAATGCGGCGTTTAAATGTTTGAGCATAATTAAACTTTTATGAATATTGGCGATGAGAGGCTAATAGAAGGCAAGTTAAATTGTATGAATATGAGCGTCCCGTTAACATATGCAAATTTGCGGGGAAGGGCTCGCACTTAATGAACAAAGATGTAATCTTAGGTTGAAGGTTTAAGACTGCAATGTTGACTGTTCGGAGTGGATTCCGGCGTGGGGATTTACTGATGTTTAAAGTTGACACACTAACACCATATGGTTTGATCACTAAACGTGTGTATGTGAGAGAGATAGACTTTGTCTCTCTTGGTATGCGCGAATATGTGTTAGTGGGAGATTTAATGAGGGGTGGAAAGCTATTTAGGTGAGATGATTGCGGCCGACGGAGGACAGCTTCGTCCTTTTTCGGGATATCCTGAGGTGCGTGAGGTGGCGCCGTCCACCGTCTACCTGTGCTTCAGCAATTCTAATTACATATCTTACATGTTCTAGGCCCACCCATGTAACGTCTTTTGATTTTCCCATTGGTTTATTGGTGTGAGCTTGCGGTTTCCCATTGGTTAGCGTTTCGCGTCAGGTTGGAAAATGCGCGCATGAGTGAAGGTGAATGCGACCGACGCTTTCCCGGCTCCCTCAGTGCACTTTCGGCGCTCGCTAATTCCGGTTGCGACGCTTTATCCGTAGAAACGCGCGTTCCGAGCACGCGACGCGTAAAAAGTTTTCGAAACTTCTTGAAAAATGGCAGGAAAATTCAAGCCGAAGCTCACGTTCAGGATGAGGCTCCGCAATAAGTTGTCCCTTCTTGGTCTGTTCTTGGTGACAGTAAATGCAGTGTTTTCCGGTGAACCTTCAACCGCAACAAACATACCCACTAACGGTGAGTGAACAGTTTTCTAATTATAACTTTATAATATTTTCTTCATTATCTTTCATTATTATTTGTATTTTTTTTTATATATTTTAATTTATTTTGATTTTGTTTCTCAACAGTTTTAATTTTTTTTTTTGAATTTCGCGGTACAAAGCGAGCGCTCCACTACAGATAGAAACACTTGGCGTAGATGGCGAGCTTTGAAAAAGCCAGTGCCAAAGGTATTCCAATCGAATTTAGAATTGTCCTCCATTAAATATTAGACTTTTTTTTTGATCACGAGGAAACTTTATTGGATCGCTTTTTCTATCTCGCTGTTCTTAATAGTCAACGAACAAATGCAATAGATTTAAAAGTTGAGATTTAAATCGAAAACTTTACTTGAAAACAACAATTAAAATATTATTCAAAGACAATTATTAAAGTTAAAAAAAATTAAAAGAAGTCTCTTATATAAATTTAGTTTAAATTGGTGCAAATTGTAAAAATAATAGTTGAATTTTAATAAAATGACAATTACTTGATTTATTTTTTTAAATAAATTTAATAATTAAATGTTATTATTTTTGTTAATTGAAAAATTTTAAAATATAAAATTTTTATATTTCAATCTTGTAAGAAATCTTTCATTAATTTTGTTGGTTTAAGTTAATAAAAAAATTAAAAAGTGAAATAGAAATTTTATTGGAATTAATAATAAAAATTTAAAATATGGACAAAATATTTTAATTTAAAAAAAAAGATGTTAATTTGTTTTAATTTTTAATTTATAATAAGTGAAAAGAATTCAAAAAAAAAAGATGTTAATTTGTTTTAATTTTTAATTTATAATAAGTGAAAAGAAACTCATAAATAATGTAAATTTTTAAGAATAATTATATAATTAATTGTGTAACTTAAATTTTATTAAAAATTAATGAAAAGTAAATATTTGAATCTAAAGGATAGAAAAATATGAAAATTTTGAATTATATTATAAAAATATATGTCTTTTAAATATTTAATATTTTGATTTAATTTCAATATATTTATTATTGAAATTCAATAATAAAATCATGCAGAAAAAAAAATTAATAAAATCTAAAAATAATGTTAAAACATGAAATCCCATTTAGGGATATAAATGTTAATAGGATGGAGAATCCCATTTTCAAGCCAGAACTACTTTTAAATATAATCCCTGTTGAATCTTTCATTTCACTCAAACAAAATATTATAAATATTTGATAGGAATTGATTTGTTTTTGAAAGCAAATTTAATATGCATAAACTGAAACGTGACAATATACAACAGTTCCAATATAAATATAAATAAATATTTCTATTGACAAAGTATTTTCTTAACTCTACTAATGATGTACAGTTTGTTGTGTGTTTTATACACGTTTATTTATTGAAGCAAGATATTTTCTCTGACGTATTCTATTTGATGCTATAATTGGACTGGAAAACTTCCTTGAATGTATATTTTCCTGAACAACTGTTAAACATTTTCCATCCTTTCAATTCCGTCAGATCTTTATAAATCTAAATTTTCTACCTTCAAAATATTACAAATGAAAAAAAAAATTACATTTTTATTACTATTTTTTAACTATCAAAAATTTAAATGGTTGTTTTCAATTTCTTGATTATCAAATTTTAAGTTTAAAAAAAACATTTTTTTTGATTTTCTACTAAATTACTTTCATAACTATTAAATCAATGTGATTACTATAACCTTTGCAATATTATAACAGTGTGGTTTTTGAAATTGGAATTATTTGTTAAGAGTTTCAAGTTGTACCAGCAATGTTCAATGCAGGAGTATAAGTTGGAGATTTGCCAGAACCTAATAACAAGTACATCGGGAAAGCAGCGAATGGTCAAATTCTGAAGGTGCAAAGTGTGGAGTAACGAAAGGACAAAGAAGATGGAAGTGTTTGTGATTTTATTTTGAAGGTGACAGATATATGATTGTTTCTACGTGTTTGGTTGGGCGGACGAGTATTTTCATTCAATTTTCCGGGGAAGTCCCGTTCTTGACTCTCCTCCTCTTGGGTGCTTGGCAAGTCTGCTAACGTTCGTTGCCGTTTGGCGTCGTGCAGAATCGCAAATTCCCAGCATCGAAATGCGTACATGGAATTCGCACTTCGTCTTGCTATGTTTTCTTTTCTTTTATTTTATTTTTCCCTTATCCTTCGTTTCTTTTTCTGTCCCTTCTACTCTTCGAGAACTCCCTTTTTCCTTTCCCACACTTTTCTCCACCACTTGGGCCTTTCTCCATCTTCCATTTTTCCATCTGGGCTTTGCATACGTTAAGGTTGTTATCCCCCAATTTTTTCCTTCGCCGTGCGCCCCCTTGCACAAGTCATGTACCGAACTAAGTAAAATCGTGACTGCTATTGATCATGAATACGTGGATTTCAATTATGTAACGAACGTTTTTCTCCTATCTTCAACGATTTGTTCGGAAATATTTAAGAAATTTAATATGTTTTAAGTTCACATTTATAATAAAAAATCATTAATTCATAAATAAATTCTAATTAGATTTGTTCGAGAACCGAAATTTCCATAAGAATGAATGAAAAATGGATATAA